CGAAGAAACACTTCCATCGATGGAAAATCAAATAGAGCATGATGAAAGTTGAAAATGACTATATCCTGATGAGAAAGTAGACGATTTGAAGAAATTTGTTTGTAATAAATAATATGACATCGAAAAACAAGACCTTGAGCAAGATCAAAAAGATGAGGATTACATTTCTCATCGTGTAAAATCTCATTGAGTTGTTCATGTGTTTCATAAGTAGATTCGATGCTTGAAAACATATTATTATTATTATTGTTTTCATGTTCATGAGTAATAACTCGTTGCATAAGTAGATTCTTTTCGATGTCAAAATGAAGTGATGTATGAAGTGAGAGATGTTTGTTAATAGTGAGATGAAGAGCATCGCGAAGTTGTTCAATTGATAAAGTATGACCTGGTTGTAGACGATAAACAAAAGGCATATTGTAGATTGCTATTTGAGGTTGGTCTGGATCAAATCGAATTCTTTCGTCAAGCCATATACGAGCTTGTGCAAATGATGCTGGTGCTAGAATAATGAGAGCATATTAAATTATAATGTAAAAGCTGAATAGTCAAATGATGCTTAATATCAATATTCTAGTCACTTTCTATTTAATCTATTTCTTAACTAAATAGAATCTATATTAAGGGTATTGCCTTAGTATGAATGTTAGAAATGCGTTAATATTTTATACTGAGAGTAAAAAACGTATTTTAATATCCCCCAGCACGAAAAGTCTAGCACCGATTCCGATCGAATTCTACTACAAAAGTCGTTTGATATTACTAGCCTCGATAGGATCCTATAGGATAATTTTGTACTGAAAGTTTTTTGTGTGCATCAGTGGTATGATGTAAAAGCGTTATGTTGATTCGATTAAAGAAACAATGGTTTAGGACTCTCAATAACAAGGGGGAAACGGCGGACTCGTGGGATTCCGAATCCCTTGGAGTAGGATGAAAATCCCAGGAGTACAATCAAAATCTATGGAGTACGATGAAAATCCTTGCAATACACGATGTATATGGATCAAATATACTGAAATTATCAATCTTTCATACATATGAAAAAGTATGATTTTATCTGTTTTAAGTGTCAACACTTTTACGTTAAGAAAACTGTATATATGTTACAGGGCCAATTAAAATCCAGGAGAATTTAAAATTCCCCTAAATTTTCCTAGGGAAAATTAAAATTCTAATCCCCTCTAGGGCAAATTAAAACCTTAATTTCATCTATAGGGGAATTTTAAATTCTCCTGGATTTTAATTAGCCCTGCAACATATATATGAAAAATAAGTCATGTATCTTTCAGCAGTACGCCAATACAGTAGTCTTACATGCAAAATAATGGTGAAGTTATAGGAAGTTTTGTTTCTACTCTAGAAATCATTTTAGTCTCCGATATTAATAATAAAAACCAAGACGCTTAAAAGTATGAAGTATCAAGGTTTGTCTAATGTATTTGATATCTTATGTTTTTTTTGTGCGTGCATAAGCTTAGTAGCAAACAACTAGGTCTATATTCTATTTATTATTTAGAACATTTCAGGAGTAAACGAAATTAACATAATATTAACGTTTGTGTAAGGGCAGTTGAACGAACATCTGTTGATTGAATATTATGCTGTCTAGTAGATCTGTTCTCGACTTGCAATGATTTTTGTGTCACATAGTTTGAAATATTACTGAACTAATAGAAGCAAAATTGTTCGCCATTCTATGATGTCAGTCTTTCATGTATGAGAGAGAGAGAAATAAGTATGAGTTACCATGAGGTTATTCTAGTTGTAAGAAGACAACTATATGTACAGGGCTATACATTGAGTGGATTATAAATCAGTTTCGAATATATGATGATACATGTTTTTCCTACGCAGCTATCTAAACACTTTCTAAGACATTTAAATAATGTGATAAATTATATATTATTGGAAAGCTCACAGTTTATTAAAAGACTATGTCACTTCTTGATGTTAATACAATTCTTCAGTGTGTTATATAGATGAATTGATTATCGGTAAGCCTTCGTTAACATTTCATGTTCAGTTACAAAATGTAATAAACAGAGAATCAGTAAGGTTTCTTTTACGCGTTCGAACTTTCGATAAATAATCTGATCGTTAATCTTAAGAATATTGATGACACAAAGATCTCAAACATTTTTTTGATTATTTTATGTATCATTCTCGTAGCTGCGTGAATTGTAGTATAACGGTTGTTGATAATGTATTTGGAACTTTTGTAAGGACTTTTTGTATCTTACTATGGCATCTACTTTGAGATAGTAGTTCACATGGGATATTTTTTTGGATATTATGCGATAAAAAAATACAGTCGTTATTTTGATTCTATTGTGATAAACGTCAGTCAACGATGGAATATAGCAAATTTCATAATCGATTCACAAACACAAAGAACTTCAGATAATATTCTAACTTAGCTAACATCATAATATAACGCAAATAAAACCGATCCTTGTTTTGATGTTAATTTCTTTAGTAAATAACTTCATAAAGAATTTTTAGTATAGTTTAGATGGAAATAAGTACTTCGATAATAGATTCAGTAGCTAAACATTGGTTCGTACAAAGAAACCCTTACTAAGTTTTATATGAACTTCGAAATCATCGAAAGCTATGCAGAAGAAATGCTGCTCCAAAATATCAATCTTTAATGTATTCCATGATTTTATATGTCGTAAGATTGGAAGATTGACTTCTGGCGTTGTTGCTCAATTTTGCCACATCGGCTGTACACTCTATCAACATTCATTCATGAATTATATAATAAGCGAAAATACGAGGTCTAAAAATCGTTAGGTTTCATAAGACTTCAAAATACTTCAAGGGCTTTTTACCCATACTGCTAGACATCGACTCAAAATATGAAACTTCGATGAATTTTAATAGTTCGATATAGTTTAGGATCCCCTAAAAATTTCTTAGATATCCCATTATTATCTGCTACTTTCGAATCACTCTAATGAATCACAGTTGAAACTAGCCAATATAAAGTGTCCTACATATAAAACTATCCTTTTTAATGACTTTATTACGGAAATATTTTGGAGTAATATAAGCCGTTTAAGAACGTAATTGCCAAAACCACAGATGTGCATATGACAAGAAAGTAAACCACTCCTTTAAGTGCAATACGAAATACATAGCCGGTATCGAATAAAGACTTCGTTCAAATATGAAGATGCAGAGTTTTCTTCTTACTACAAGATCGACAAATCAGAGTTATAGCCAAGATTATACCGTCTTCATATATCCAAATCATCCTAGCTGTCTGTAAATGCAGATACAGACGTAAATTATATAAATAAGTTGTTTATTTATCTACGTCGCTCAATGGAACTAGGTATCAACTTATCTATCGAGATCAGTGTGCTCATTTGTTTCTGTGATACAACAGATATTATTAGCTGAACCACATAGACAATCAGTTCAATTCACCATTATTTTCTGAATCTTTGTTGTTTGTCCACCAGCGTCGAAAAAGGTAACGAACGACCATTTATGTACCGTCTATACTACATTTATCTTATGGCACTCTTCATCTAGTTTTTAAAAAAGAAAAGTGATTTACTACTATAAAAAGAAAGAAATGCTATTGTATATCAATGATACAGTAAAAACTTGAAGATACCATAAGAATATCCGAAAAGAAAACGTATGTATTACGGTAAAACAGATTTGGGATTCGGAGTACGATAAAAATTCCAGGAATCCCGAGAATCCCATGAAAATCTAGAGAATCTCAAAAAAATCCCAAAAATCTCGAAAATCCCGGGAGTACGAAATCCGCCGTTTCCCCTTGCTCAATAAAACTATCACTAGCATAATGCAAGTACTGACGACTCTCTTTAAGGTTGTGAGTTGATGTGGATGTGGTTGTGTATATTGTATTAAGCATACACTCTCACTCGCTCTCACAACCCAACCCACACCCTCTTCCACAACTAAAGAATCTTTTCATACGAAAAAGGAATAGTCATACCTTCTGTATAAACGCCTATCACTCGACTTAATGTTAATGCATATATTTCGTTCTCTTCTTCAGGCAATATCAAAGACAAGTTTTTGATAGATTTAGTAGATAGGTCTTTTTCCATGTCATCCGAGTTTGTCAAAAATAATTGTGACAGGAGATGCTGAAATCGTTGCGCTAATGTTTTAACAGTACTGTTATCAAATAAATCATGTGAGCAGGAAAACTGACAGGAAAGCTTATGATCATCTGATATCGGATTGTATAGGAACATTGTTGAGAAATCAAACTGAGAAATTTCATCTGTTTGTTCGATTGAGACTGGTTCTAAGCATACATCACTTATAGAATATCGATCAATATTTGTAGACACCGGTAAGAAATTAAACACAATGTTAAGAAATGAAACGTCCAATTGATTAAGTCGAAAATCAGTAAGTATATGCTGAAGTGGATAATGAGAATGCTCAAGAATTGATAAACACTTTTCTCGAACATGTTTCACAAGTTCATCAAGTGACCAATGAGAATTGAGTTGTACACAATATGGTAACGTTGAAACAAACATGCCGATCATATTTTCTAATTCACTTCGATATCGATTAGCATTAACAGATGCGATGCATAAATCAGTTTCTCCATGAGTTAGTTTGAATAGAAACACGTAAAATGCAGTCAAACCAAGCTGAAAAGGTGTAATTCGATGTAAGGAAGCATAATTGAGAAAAATCATCGACAGCTCCTTATCAAAAGAGATTTGAGCTACCGACGCTATGTTAGATCGCTGAATAGCTGACGAACGGTGTCTATCAACTGGTAGCTTTAATGCACGTTTGAGATTAAATCTTTCTAGTTGAGAATACCAGAAGCTACGAGATGATGTCATATCCATAAGCCGTTCATGAACAGCATAATCAATATATTTCACTGATTGTTCATCAAGTGAATCTGTCATGTTATTACTATAAGCATTATAGAAATCATTTAACAGGATTGCTATAGAAGTTCCATCAACTGCTGCATGATGGAAATATAATACAAGAACATCATACTTCTCAAGAAATTCTATGTGAGCAGTCACATGCGTAGTCTTCTGTTGTTGAAGTATCTGACAACTGAAAACTCGACCACTGGACAAATCAAACAGGTCAGGATTGATAACCGTTCGATAAATGATATTTTGAAGTTCATTGTCACACTCGAAAGTTTGCTGATCAAGAAACGTAAATGTCTTGTAATTGCCAGTGACATATTGCTGTAGTGTACTATTATCATTATTAAACACGAGTGAAGTACGCAATATTTCATGCTTCCTCAAAACCAATTGGAGAGCTTGTAGTACTCGATTTATTGATAAGACACCTTCAGTAACCCGTAGTGCAACAAAATTATTATAGAAAATATGTTTATTAGAGAATCGAATCTGTTCATCCAAAAATATACGTTCTTGAGCAAATGATGCCATACCTGAAAATGCAATAACAAAACATTTTAGTTTATTTAAATAGCTAATGTTAGAGATCTTCACTTTGATTAATATGCAGAGTATACCATTGTTCGCTTCGAATATCATCAGCTGTGACTACCTTTAATAATTTTGCGTGCTGTTGAATAGTTGGTTGTTTAAGAAAGGGACTAATAGATAATGTACGACTATCGAAACCAAACATAGTTTGATAACGATGATAAAGTTCAATAAACAAACGAGAGTGACCTCCGATAGTAAAGAAGTTTGTAGTTGTTGATATATGTCGTCCATTGTGCTCCAGCACTTGGCACCAAATATCATATACACTTTTTTCTACTTGATTGACTGGGGTATTAAGTTCACTTAGCGATGGCATATTTGGCGATGAAAACCTCGGTGGAGGAAGGAGTTTTCGATCTATTTTTCCATTTGGATTCAAAGGTAATTTGTCCAAAATAATGAATAATGATGGAATCATATGAGGTGATAAATGTGATTGACAATGTTCCCGTAATTGTTTTTCATCAATATCAGAACTTTGAACATAAGCAACTAAATGTTCTTCATTCCATTTGATAACAGTACAAGCAGATACAGATAATGATATATTCATAAGACATTTCTCAATTTCAGCCAATTCTATACGTTGTCCTCGTAACTTTACTTGATGATCTTTTCTACATTTGAAATAAAGAAGACCTTGATGATCATATTGAACAACATCACCACTTCGATAAAATATATCATTATTAATCTCAATCAATACTTTTGCTGTCAAATCATCACGACCAAAATATCCAGCAAATACACATGCACCACCAACAAATAATTCGCCTTCTTGATTAACAGCAATAAATTGAAAATATTCATCCATTATTGCACAGTGATAATTAGGAAGTGGTTTTCCAATTGACATCACTTGTTTATCACAATCAAAATCGAATCCTATTTGAAAATATGTTGTGGTAACTGTTACTTCAGCTTGCCCATACATATTCCACAGTTGACAGCCATCCAACGATGATGAGGATGATGATGGTATAGATACATATTTTTTTAAACGAGACATTATTTTATTTGTTAAAACATCACCTAGAAATGAAATAAATCCTTTTGTTTCTCAATGAAAATATTCGATTCGAATAGACTTACCTCCACTACACAATATTCGCAATTTCTTCAAACATTCATTTTCATTTTGCATTTCAAGATGTTGACATAACATATCAAGATAACTTGGCACAGCATCCAAAAAAGTCACATCTTTATCCATTAATTCATGAATAAGATAAGTTAAATCTTTATTACCATGAGGATGTAACATAATTAAATCAGCACCAATCATTAATGCTACAAAAGTTTCTTGAAAATGATTATCAAAAGAACAACTTGCCATTTGTATTACATTATCACTTCTTTTCAGTGTTGTCATTTCAGCAAAACTTTGCATATAAGCAATTAAATTACGATGTCGTACTTGAACCTAGATATATATATATAGATACAAAAATGAATGATTCAAAGAATTATATTAAACAAACCGCTTTTGGTATTCCTGTCGAGCCACTTGTAAAAACAATATATGATATATTATCTGGAGTTATTGAAATATTTGATAATTGATAAAGATCATCATTTGTAATTTTATCATTAACGTTTATAGCTGCATCAATATCATATGTAATGAAATTATTTTTAAATATTCGGTTTGTTAATGAATGAACAAGTATAAGACGAGCTTGTGTTTGTTCTACAAGGTTTTGAAGACGTTGCTCGGGATTTTCTGGTGATAGTGGACAATATACACCACCAATAATTTCAATTGATAATAAACCAATAATCTATAGTTAGAGATTAGAGATAAATAATAATACTAGATTATTCATTTGAAAACTTACCATTGATAAACTTCGCTCAACACACTGACACACAACCTCACCTAGAAACACATGATAATCATTAAGAACAGTTGAAGATAAGACTTGAACATAATACAAGAGTTCACAATATGTCAATGATTGTTCATCTAGTTCAACAGCTAGTTTTTGTGGATGTTTCATCACTTGATAGACAAATTCATGATGAATACAAGTGAGAGGAGATGGAAATGATATTTGCGTATTATTCAATGATTGTATTAAATATTGTTTATTTGATAATGTTAATGATAATTCATAGAGAGGTTTGTTTATTTGACTATTAATCATAGATGCAAATAATTGTTGTATGATGGAATGAAATCTCTGTGAAGTCGTCTCCACTGTCTCTTGATTGAACAAGTCAAGTGATGCAATGATTGCACAGGAGAATTGATTCATTTCAAAATCATGCCGAATACTAAGAATGAAGTCAGATTTGCTTATGATGTTATCTTTACTAATTTTGATTGAAATAGGTATCACAGAAAGATGACTGTCACCTATAATCACATCTTTGCCGAGATCTTGTGGTGAATATCGCATAAACTCGAATGATGTATCAAGAAATGCAGGTTTCAAAGAATGTGGATGTTGATTAAGGACACGTTGTAGAGGAAAATAAGAGTATTTGCAACTGTTTGTCAGTATCTCTTGAACATATGTAATAAGTTCATGTAGAAACCAGTGTGGATCTAGTTGACATCGCAAGGGAATAGTATTGACAAACATACCAATCACAGATCTAAGTTCATCTCTGTATCGACCATCTACGTTCATTCCAATGCATAGATCTGTTTCTCCATTCGTTAGTTTAAATAGAAAGACAAAATACATAGACAACGCCAGATGTTCAAGTGAGATGTTTTGTGAAGATGTGTACTGAAGGAAAGTATCACAAAGATCTCGATCTAAATCGAATGAAATAGATGTTCCGCGACCATTTCGATATTCAGTCGTAAGTCGATATCGATCATATGGCAATGAGAGATATTGATCTAGTTTGTAATCATGTAGAGCATTATGCCAGAACATGCTTGCACCAATCATGGGCATGTGTTTTTCAATAACAGCATCTAAAGAAGAGAGAAAGACATGATATGATTATAAAGAGAGAAGTATGAATATTCACAATCAAGATAGCGAAGTGTGTCGGTGCTGTTATCATTGAGTAGCTGACTTGTGGTGTATGCTTGATGAAGATCGTGGAGAAATATCTTCATTGATGGACAGTCGAACGAGGTATGATGAAAGTTGAAGATGATAATATCGTTATCGGAGATAAGATCATTGATAGAAACTTGTTTATAACGAACAATATGACATCGGAAGACAAGACCCTGAGCAAGATCGAAAATATGAGGATTATGTGTCTCATTGTGGATAATTTCATCCAATTGTTCGTCTGTTTCATAAATACTTTCGACTATAAAACGCCGATTGTTTTTATGATTCTGTTGGTCAACAATTCGTTGTGTGAGAATGTTTTTTGTAGTATCAAAAATAAGTGCCGTTCTCAGAGATTGATGTTTGTCAACGACAAGATGGAGTGCATAACGAAGCTGTTGAACAGACAAGGTATGATCAGCTGAAAGACGATAGCAGAATACCATATTGTATGTTGTCGATTGTGGTCCATCCAAATGCAAACGACGGTCTTCATCGTGCCATATTTGGTGTTGAGCATACGAAGCTGGTTCTATGATAGTCAGACATTATTCTCACAGTTAAATACTCGAGTCTCTCACAAATAGCAATACGTTGCTGTTGTAACGAAATAGTTCTCCAATATTAAATTACTTTCATACAGAATTTTTTTGTTAAAATGATGCGTCTCAAACTGGTGACATTCTTTTATCAAAATTTAGTATTTTTTATGTTCGAAGGAATTTAAACTGATTTCACAACTTACTCATTATGCACAAGTTTTAATTCATGCAGATATGTAAAGAGAAATTAGAAACGAGTTTTCTTCGAAGCACTTACTTATTTCGGAGAAATGTCGTAGTGATTCGTTGATGTTTGATAAAGTTTCAACGTTCATTGGTAAAAGAGAAAGATTTCCAATTTTTTCAAGACATGGAACGAATCCAATGGTTTTCGTACTTTCAGTGAAGATATGTAAAAGTAGATTTTGAAAATATCGACCAATGTTGGACACCGTCACTTCATCATAACAATCAGCGCTACATTCCAAAATACAAGAAGTTGTTTTGCTGGACTGATTGTGAATCATTTTTAAATTAATATCATAAGAAGCAATACCATTGCCATATAGCCAAGGTTGTTCAGTATATAAATTTAATATCGCATCATTTGTCTTGGCTATCGAGTTCATTTCATTGATTGAAGCAGAGTGAATCTCTTCATATTGAAAATGAAATGGAATCTTGCTTGAACATAACTCGCTATTACCCCTGATGATCTGTTGATAAGGTAGTTGATAGTGATCTTGGATGTCCATGTCCAGTTGACAAATTCGCCGCACAAAGTTAATAAAACTTTCATTTGCATTAATTTTGATACGATATGGTAACAAATTCGCAAACGTACCAATCATGCATTTTGTATCAACCAATGATCGCTTTTCTGTTGGATAGGTCACACACAAGTCACTAATAGTACCATCATTGAGTTCATATATAAATAGAAAGCAGCACGCTAATGCTGTATGAAACATAGACAAATTATGTAGAGATGCAAATTCCATCTGACCTTCCACAAGTATCGAATCCAGTATAAACGATGTGCTATGCCCTTCTCCAGAACGCTTTTTTGTGTCGAATGGGCGCGTAAATGGTGTCGGATAGTTTGCATTAAGACTGTAGTCATCCATCATTTTTGACCAAAACTGTTGGGCTGTTCGTATTTGAGAGTCTTCGGGAATATTAACGAATTGTTGATGCTCATGCAGACTGAAACTGATATATTG